ATCAAGCCTAGCATGCTGAACATGAGCTCTCGGAAGGTTCTAAATTCCTCGGCAAGCTTTCTAACGGTGTATTTGGCTGGTGCGCTACAGTGTATCTGTGCCTCAAGCTCACCCATACGTTTTGTGAAGATCTCCTCCAGACTCTTCTATGCAGATTCAATGAGAGCTGGGTGGGACATTCTTGGTTAGGTGTTCTTGTCCGTTAATAAAAGCAAGTGTAGTAATGGTGTTAGTGTACAGCTGACAGGTGGATGTGATTAAAACTTGTTATGGATAGTTCAACTCAGTTGTGCGCGCGGCCCTATGTGTGCGTGGGCTTGTAAATATACAACTTTCATTCGTGTGGCACTGACGCGGCAGTCGTCGTCCGAGCAAGACGTGTTCTTATCGCTTTTTCTTAACGGTACAGTCGTACGAAAATGTCTAGTTCTTCACGGAGAAAATGTTAAAGGAGTCAGGTAAATATTTTTTAAATTTAGATGTAATTAATATTTATTATGATTCTATACACGAAAAAATATATCCTTGTTGACGTTTACGTATTATTGTTTTAGACTCGAGAAACCATTGCTAAGGTATACGAATTTCTGAAAATAGATGCGAGAGATATATTGGAACTAGTAAGTGATCCAGCAATGGCAGTGGGGGTATCAGAGAGAACAATTACTAATATATTGGCTGAAGGAAAAGAATCTGACTCTAAATTTAAATCTCCGCATAAAGACCGTAAAAAACGTTTAAAAAAGTTAGAATTAGACAACTTTAACGTTGATGTTATACGTTCCACTATTCAAAATTACCATTTAGAACATCGCGAGTTACCTACCTTGCTAAAGTTGAAAAGAATATTTCAAGATAAACTTAACTATGATGGAAGTATTTCGACTCTGCGTACAGCTTGGTTAAAGTTGGGATACAAATGGTGAAAAACTTTGGATAACAGACGGGTTATTATAGAGCGGCATGTCATCCAAAAACTACGAATTTCCTACCTAAAAAATTTACTCAGATACCGTCAAGAAAATCGGTAATAAAGATGGACCACCTTTAAAGAGAAACCTGTCGAAAGGACAAAGAATTATCATTGTGCATGCTGGTTCAGAACAAGGTTTCGTACCTAACGCACTATTGACATACAAAGCAAATAGTGTTTCTGGTGATTACCACTCTAAAATGAACGCAGAAAACTATGAAAAGTGGCTAAAAGAACGTCTAGTACCGAATCTTCCACCTAACTCTGTGGTTGTGCTTGATAATGCCTCATACCATAACGTTCAAAATGACAGAGCCCCAAATTCTAATTCCAAAAAAATTGAAATGCAGAGATGGCTGACAGAAAAAAATATAGCTTTTAATCAAGATATGAAAAAAATTGAACTGTATGACTTGATTAAAAAAAATAAAGAAAAATATATCTGTTACAAGATTGACGACATACTTCAGCCATATGGCATAAAAGTTCTTCGACTGCCACCATATCATCCTGAACTAAACCCCATAGAAAATGTGTGGGGAATTTTAAAGAATTATATTGCTTCGCATAATGTCGACCAAATGTGACGGTAATAATGAAACTCATAAATGAACGTTTAAGTCAAATTGATGAAGGGATGTGGGGTAGGGTGTCCCGTCAATGGTATCAAAAGTTGCGTTTTTGTGAATAGATTACAAATATAACAAAATTTAATTAAATATTTGTCATCTTTAGGCCTCTACCGATCCTAGAAGTTTTTCAAATTTGCCATTTTTAGAGGTTTCGAACATAAACTATAAATGATACAAAAATAATGTTTTAAAGGTTTTAATCAAATTTATAGGTACTACAAAGACATAAGGTAATGTTCAGTAAAGTTTAAATACTTATAATTAGTGCTTATTTCAAATACGAAATTGGTTCTTGTGGCCAAAATTAGGCATTTCCGCGCGAGATTTTAATCTGTTTCTGATTAAACCATCCCGAGCTTTTTTTCCGGGGCGAGTTTTTTTTTATTATATTTGTATTGCGTACGGAGTTGTAAACAGTGACATCTATTGCCCCGCGTCGCATTTATTGATTTACCCAAAGCAGATTGTAACTATAGTATTGATGTTCTTCGTTCGCCATCGGACCACTAGATGGCGTTGTTTTGTTGGTAAGTCATAGTAATAATTTATCCTGACAAATTGTATTGGTGTTAAAAGTGTCCTGTTATGGTAGGAAGCGAGTTACTGTTGAATTGAGTCGTGTTAACCTCGATGATAATTTGAATGACAATTTAAAATGATAAAGAAGGGATTCTTTCTAGAAATTTCACAAACCGAGCATATATAAGTCCGGCTTTCAGCCACAGGGGAGACTCTGCTTAAGTAGTATTTTGTTTGTCTGGTAATTTCATTTTAGTAATATTTTCTTTGTTCTAAGTACCCACGCCAGTGGTAAGTTAATCTTAATTTTCTTGTAGTCATTTGTTTCTGGAACCTGAACGATTATATGAGTGCTAATCCATTCGTAGGGCTCCAGATTTCGGGTCAAGACAAACAATCTCAGACGGCGTGCTCTTTCGTTTGTGGCCTTCTGGTGCGTAATCGAGCTTCTCAGTACCCTCTGGTAAACTGGCAGTCACGCGGCTCACCAAGCAAGCGGTCAGCCTTATTCAAGGGTTACGTAATTCTTGTTAATGTAATTAATATAAATATTGAACCTTCCATTATACCTAATATAAATAGCCGACTCGGGCTGGTGTGGAAGTGGCCTGCTGGATTGATGACGAGGAGGCTCCGAACAGCATCAGCTCGGCTTTGACGCGCGCCGCTGCGGGATTTTTTTATATACTCACTATTTTATGTTTTTTTTTATTGTAACTCTGTATTTATTAGAAATATACATGTATGTATGACTGAGGTGTAAGTTGTCTTTCTCTGAGGAGTCCCTTAGGTTGCCCACACGCACACCCTTCTGTTTTTTGACAAGGCGCCCTGAGGTAATCTCGTGTATTTCTCCGCTGGGTAAGCCGGTGAGTAGTCCGCCTGACACGTAAAGCGGTTACAAATTGGCGACCAACGTTTGGCCAACGACCCAGACCTCTGTGTGTGTGCTGTGTGAGTGTGCCTAGGGGGATTCACTTTGGAGGAGACACTTCCATCCGTCCGAAACTCCCCAGGACGTTAATTGGTTGTGCGGGTGCAGTACGCACGTAATAATTTACCCTCATTGTATTTTCAGCCCATCGTACCATCATCCCTGAGGCAAGGAAAATCTGTGAGACACCTAAATTCTAAATTAACTCAAAATTCCAACTGCACAGTTCTCGGTAAGTTTAGAAACATTTTTTGGCCAAACTAAACTTTTTTTTTTTGTTTGCTACTTCTGTCTGTCCCTTTGAGGTCCGTAGCGTGAAGTTGTGCATACGTGTATATTTAATGTGTTCCTTTATCCAAGTACTCCTGGTGTAATTAACTTATAAGCTTAACTTAACTTATAAAGTTTTATGTACCCTCCATTTTTTATAACCTACTGGCTTAAAATTAAAATAAAATAGTTTTGTTGTATACATACCCTACTTTCAATTTATGTCAAAATAACTTTTATAATTGTAAACTATGTTCGCGCCACTAAACAAATTTCGTAAAACTATTACTTTAAATATTTTGGTTGGTATCATATCATCTCCACTATCCCTTTCCTGCACAACGCCTATATAATATGTGTGAGCGGGATGGACTCACCACTGCACGCTGCACATTCGTTGTACATAAGCGAAAAAAGTAGTCTCGCCCCGTCCGTGTTACCGTCGTTTTCGAAATGCGCGCGTGTGCCACTTGAAAAATCGCAAATTAATAACTTTCGCATTGTGGTTTGTGAATTTGGTGAAAATAGCACCTGGACTTTATGCTGCTCCGCACAGGAAATAAGGTATCGTGCAATCCATCCCGTTGGAACTGATTATTACTTTCATTTTTCCTAACAGTTCTAATTTCCTACCTTGACGCCAACCAAGTTTTACAAACTCCTCGAACTTAGCTAACCCGCGCAAACAAACTATGTCAATTTATTGGATTACTGTGTCAATAATCTGAAGATATATATCTGTGTATTTCTCTCTAGCTTGCCCAAAATCAAGTAAGCATCCTAACAGTTTAAAATAGTAGTGTAAAATTGTGTTAAATAAAATTACCTAACAATCTGTGAATCTAAAGATAATATAACTTATGTCTTAGATTTTGAACCGATAATATTTTTGTTTTTAGTTGAATGTGTTTCTCAATTTTTAAAATATTAAAATTTATTTTACTTTCTCACAGTCTGTTAATAGTGAAGAAGTATACTCAGTAGCATTATTTTTTTACTTTTGTGAACTGTAAAAGTCATTAAGTCTACATTACTAGTTTGTAAACTTGTTGAGATTTTTTGTATAATTGAACTTAAATTGTTGACCACCATGGCCCATTTACGTAAGTGCATTAATTACCTTAAAAAGGATGAACTTGTTAATGAACTGTCTGCCATGGGGATTTCAGCGAATCCTGATGATACGGTTGTCGGCTTGCGAAGTGAGCTGCGTACTGCGTTGCGGCTTATCCGGCGTGGCAGCATTAAGGCCATCGCCGCTGTTCCTGCTGTTGCCGCCTCTGAGTTGTCTGTCTGCGAGCCTAAGGTCCTTGAACTGGAACAGGTCCTTTCTTCAGGTGACTTTGTTTCGAATTATAAATTGTCTTACTAGAGTTGGGGCTAATTATCTTCTCGCTAGGTTAGCCAGTGCAGTTTTGACTGTCTAGACCTTTTCAGGCCATCTTTTGTGACCTGCGGGGTCCATTCCCTACTGTCCTTACAAGGGAAACGCCCGCAATTCTCAAATAATACACAAAAAAATGTGAAGAAAGATTCTACCCCGATTCGTAATGTTACCACAGGAAGAGGAAGTAAAAGACCTGCTTATACCTCCCCGCCCACGGTTGAACCCGTGACCAGGGAAGATGTTCGCGAGATCGTGCAAAATGTCATTAGATGTGAGATTGGTAGTATGTTGAAAGAACTGAGCGATAACTTAATTGGAATAATCCACAAGGAAATTAAACCGGTTCAAGCAGAGATGGCAGCGATAAAAGAATCCATGGATTATATGAATAAGCGATTCGATGACATCGAAAGAGACCAAGAAAATGTGTTAAAAACCCATAATGAGCTTCAGGCTGAAAATAAAAAAATGAATACTACTATCATCGAGCTCAATAACTGCTTGGCATCGGCTGAGCAGCGTCTTAATTCCCTAGATCAATAGCTAGGAAGCAATAATGTGGAACTACAATGCATTCCCGAAAATAAAAACGAAAATCTCAATAATATTGTTATGAAGCTAAAAAAAAAAAATCTGCGTGGTGTCAGTTATTTTCCGTTAGGTTTTGAGAATTTCTTGATTCGGTCACCGCGCCGCGCCGCGCTCAGAGCCCGCGATAAAAGCTATGCAATAGCTTAAAAATCCTTCTATAGAATAAAAAAAATGTGCTTTCTCCTTACGCGTTACAAAACTCCAATTCTTAGAAACTCCAACACCTGCCTACTCAACTAGAATGCAAGAAACAGCTGACGAGTAAGTAACTTTTTATCTCAGCTTATTAACGTCTCCATAAATTAGGTACCTACCTACAACTCGCAACAACTCAAAACAAAAATTCTTTGGTCACCAATTAATTAATTATTAAAAAGCTGAACAGCTGACTAGGAATGTTTTAAAATCACAACCCTCAAACATCTAAATATTATATATGAGTCTAGCTGTTGTTGTTAATACCGAGAAAATAAAACCAGTTTTTAGTGGTATATGTTGTTATAGTAGCAGCAGAAACACTTTGTGAAAATTTCGAAAACTTTCTAATGACACACAGACGGTAAAAAAATTTTTCTAGTATTATTCATACACACAGATAATAAACAAATATTATTCATAATAAAATACCACGTCTTTACTTTGAATTATGCAAAGTAACAAAACACACATGCACCGAAGTTTTAACACAAGCATAAGTAGGTACCTACCGTATCATGATTCATTCAGAACCGCATATAACTACCTATTTCACTCGTCTCAATAACTTTCCGTTCCTCTATTCGCTTTATTTATTAATCCAAACACCTTTTTTTTCGTGAGATAAAAGGAAATACTTATCCATTAAAAATACACATATTATGTACCTACCTACTAGAAAGTAAAATTATTATTTTATTAATTATTATTAAGTTAAGTAAAATTATTATAGTCTTACTTTTCAGAGTTTCCAGTTAATTAAAAAAAACTTATGTCTGGATGCGTTATTGACGAATTCATACAACCAAAAACAGCACAATATTTCCTACTCGTCATATTAACTGATTTTTAGAGAAAAACACCGTCCATTCGACACTGCGGCACAGCCGTGACTGGCTGCGCCCCGAGCGCACCCCGAGACCGAGGCGCGTAGGTATAGCTCGCGTTTCGTCCGTTTGTATGAAGTTAGAGTACTGTATTATAATAGTACCGTGGTGCTAGTATTCAAGTTAGGAATATAGACTATCTTAAAAAACTATGAAAATAATGTTATTAGGGCGCTTAACCGTATCCCTTCTTTTTCGCATGTGTTTAGGTATATTTCGTTGTTACATTCACTTTATCTATGTACTTTCAAAATTGCAGAGGTCTGCGAACCAAAACACTTGCCTTTTATCGAAATGTTTGCTGTAATAATTTTGACATAATATGTTTAGTTGAAACTTGGTTGAATAGCTTAGTAAGTTAGCTGAACTACTTAGTAAGCGTTGTGAACGACTGGCCAATGATTGTTACAAGAATTACATGGATAATTGGGACTAATCCCACCCACACGCCCACCACTGTAACTCCTGTACACCAGGATCCACAGCAGTGACCCACGAACACACCGAGTTATGACACTCGGGAAGTCCCAGGAAGAAATTAAACTGTCTTGGAACCCGCAACGAAATTAATCAGAAGAAAATTGGAGGAGTTGGAAATACAGTAAATCCACTTCCCTCCTTAGCAAAGCGGGAGACAAAATGAAGTAAAATAGGCATACACCCCCTTTTAAATAGGGAAGCACCACGGCCACAAAATATTACGGGTCCTACATGAGCTATATTTGATTTCTATAATATGTATGGCAGAATCGCCTAAACGCACGGAAATTCACCCTAGTTGACACAAGATCCCCATAGTATACCGCCCCAGATGTCACCTGCAAGCTATTCAGCATTATATTACGTTCATTATACCAAAGACTACATTCCCAGAGGATATGATGAGCAGATTGTTCATAATGAGAGTTAGGTGTTGAGCATTGACACAATGGTGACTGGACTAATTTAAATGAATACAACTTACTCTTAAAGTTACCATGACCCGTAAGAAATTGAGCGACACAGTGATCCACCTCAAGCCATGTCCTCGACAACCGTTCGCGAACAGATGGAAAAAATTGGTAAAGATGGCGCCCCTTGGATGATTCGTCCCAGCGTTGCTGCCATTCGTCTACGAGGTCATTATAGACATCGGACTGCTGTTGAAGCAATCTTGTAATTTTACCGCGATCCCGCGCCCCCAAGAAATCGCATTCCATGTTTTGTCTTGAATAGTACATGGCTGCACGTCTCTGCACCTCGAGATCGACCGGAAGCACACCCGCCAACACCGGCAAAGCCTCAGTAACCTTTTTTTTTTTTTTTTTTTTACGTGTGGAATTCCCCTCGGACCGTCACCCGCCGGGGCTCTCGTTCGGCGGGGCGGTGTGTCGGACTCGGACCGACTAAAACCACACGGTGTGCCCTCTTTGCGCGGAGTTTAGGAGGGGTTTAGGTAGTTATCGCCTTCTGGACCCCTCCCAGCGCCGGCCCGCTCCTGTTGCGGGCTCCGTCTCAAAGTTTCCTCTCTTTAGGCGGCGTCCGGCACACGCGGACGCCGCCCCCTCGCGGCTGGCCAACTAATGCGGGTGGAGGGGAGAACCCATCCCGTCCACCCGCGGCCACACTCAGGGCGGCATGAGGCGCAGGTAAGCGCGCCTCCGCCGCCCGGTTCGCCGGCGGCGGATCAGGTCCGAGTGGAGGTCGTCCTCCCGGGCCTTCTCCGCCGCCTCCTTCTGCGAGATTACCTCCTCGCAGAAGGTTGCGATCGCGGTAAAACAACCGTCGCTACCGGCCATGGAGCGAATTACGGCCGGTAGCGAGAGATCTGCTCCGATGACTGCAGTGAGGGCCCGGCGTTGCGTCGCCCATGCGGGGCAAACCGCCAGCGTGTGCTGGGCCGAATCCTCACTGCAGTCGCAGTGGTGGCAGGCGGGACTCGATTCCCTCCTAGCGACCGAGTACAGGTACTTTCCGAAGCAACCGTGCCCGGAAAGCACCTGCGTCAGCCGGAAGGAAAGGGTCCCGTGCTGCCGCCCTGCCCATTCGGCGATGACCGGCTGGAGAGCTTCCACGGCGGCGAAGCCAGCGCGTGGAGTCTCCAGCCGGAACGACCATCTCACCATGGTGGCTCGGCGAGCGGCTTCGCGCCACTCGCGCACGTCTTCGGGTGGAGGGCGAAATCCGCTCTCCGCCCAGAAGTCAGCCACTCGCCGATAAACTTCGGCAAGCACTTCCGCCTCCAAATCCCACGGGGGTGTTCCGGCCAAGGCGCAAGCCGCCTCGGTGGACACCGTGGGGTATCCGCGTATGGCTCTGACCGCCAATATCCTTTGGGGGCGCCAGAGGCGCGCCCTATTCGGGGCGGTCAGAGCCGCCACCCACACCGGTTCACCATAAAGCGCCATGGACCGGACAACCCCCGCGTACAGCCGCCTCGTGGGAACACTGGCCCCGCCCAAATTGGGCAAAAGTCGCCCTAGGGCGGAGGCAGTGTCCACCAGCTTCGGACCAAGCTGTCGGAAGTGCTCGTCGAAGAGCCGAGAGGCGCCGGCGGGTGGACTACGACGGGGCCCATGAAATAATAGGGCCTCCGTCTTATCCAGGGCCACCCGCAAACCCAACGCCTCAATGCGCCCGACCACCAGGGAAACTCCCGTGGCGGCCAGGCGCGCCGCCTCCTGGAAGTTAGCCCCCCGGGCCGTGACTAAAGTGTCATCTGCGTAGCAGAGTACACCCAGCCCGGGGGGGAGACGCCCTCGTAGGGCCCAGTCGTATCCAATATTCCACAGGAGTGGTCCTAGGACAGACCCCTGCGGAACACCGCACGACATGGCCCTGCGTCTCAAGACGCCATCTCGGTCCTCGTACATGACGGTTCGCTCCTCAAGATAATCTGCCACCAGCCGCCTCAGGTACTCCGGCACTCCGTGGTAGCGGAGCGCTTCCCTGATGCAGCTGAATGGCAGACTATTGAAGGCGTTGGCGATGTCCAAGGACACCGCCAACACCACTCCGCCGCAGCTCACTGCCTCCTCGGTCACGGCCCTAAGGCGCATTACGGCATCGATCGTCGAACGCCCCTCTCGGAAACCGAATTGGGCGTCCGACAAATCGGGGCCAACCTCGCAAAGGTGCCGGACGATCCGGGCAGAGAGCACCCTCTCAAAAAGTTTGCCCGCCTCGTCCAGCAACACGATAGGCCTATAGGCCGCGACCGATTCGGCAGGCCGTCCCGGCTTCTGCAGCAGGACCAGCTTCCCGCATTTCCAGCGCTCAGGGAAGCGTCCGGACGCCAGGCTAGCGTCCAACACCCCCCTGAGGTGGTCCGACATGTAGTCGAGGGCTCGGGCCATCACTCGGGCTGGAACCCCGTCCGGCCCGGGGGAAAGCCTCAGTAACCTTTTTTTTTTTTTTTTTTTTTAACGTGTGGAAATCCCCTCGGACCGTCACCCCTCCGGGGTTTGCGGCGGGGTGGTGTGTCGGACTCGGACCGACTAAAACAACACGGTGTGCCACTCTGCGCCTGTAACAGGAGGGATCCGGGAACAGCTGTTGTTAAGACATCCGGACCCCTCCTAGCGCCAGCCCGCTCCTGGTGCGGGCTCCGTCTCGATGTTTTTCCTCTCTTTATAGGCGACGTCCGGCACACGCGGACGCCGCCCCCTCGCGGCTGGCCAAACTAATGCGGGTGGAGGGGAAACCCACCCCGTCCACCCGCGGCCACACTCAGGGCGGCATGAGGCTGTGATAGGCGGGCCTCCGCCGCCCGGTTCGCCGGCGGCGGATCGGGTCCGAGTGGAGGTCGTCCTCCCGGGCCCTCTCCGCCGCCTCCTTCCGCGAGATTACTACCTCGCAGAAGGTTGCGACCGCGGTAAAACAACTGTCGCT